AAGTAAATAAAAGCTGAGGTCTCACTTAGTAACATCAGTCTGGGCCAACCCCCTTCCCATCGATGCGGGTTGGGTGCTGGGTATTTTCTTCATCTTTGGTGCCTTCAAATACCTCCCCCAATCCCCCGTGGGCCCCTTCAAAAGAAATTTCCTAATAAGAAGTGCATGAAAATCCCTAAAGGAAGGGGGGAAAAAATAAATTAAAAAGGAATAAATAAAGTGCTGGCACATTTTTTGACTTATTTTCTTTTTCCTCCCAGTGTGCTACATGTGAAAAATACAGAAATTATTTTTGTTTTGGAGATGTTGAAATATATTTATTTTATTGTAAAAGATGATCTAGTTTGGAAACGCTCCGTGTTGTAAATAAACCTGAAAGGGGGGGGAAAAAAAAATCCGCCAAGCAAATCTGTGTCATTTATCACTTTAAATCTTTGTGTGGGGTTTTTTTTATTGTTGCTGTTTTAAATTTGATTTATTTCGGGTTCATTCTGTGGAACTCAGAATTTAACAGAAATCCCCGTCGCTGTCTTGGGTCCCGTCCGTGACGTGTCGCTGTTGACTGACGGGTTCCACCGGCCAGAGCTGTGTCTGTCTTTGGTTTTTTTTCTCTTGTTAACCCTTGAACCTAATGGGAAAATAATAGAATAAAAGTCTCGTTTGTCTCACTGTGCCGCTCCAGTGTCTTCAGAAGGGCCGGGTTGGGGGGGAGGAGTCGGAGGCGTCTTTGGAGCTTTGGAAGAGGAGGTTTGGAGGTGATGGCAGAGTGGGCAGCGCTGATTTTGGGGAAATCCATCACCCTGGGCTTTAGCTCAGGAACCAGCTTTTAGAGTTGAAATTAGTGGGTTGTTGGGTTTTTTATTATTATTTTTTTCACATTTAAAATTTTAATTTTATTTTTAATTTTTATTTTCATGTGTTTTCTTATGGTTTTTATTTTTTAATATTTTTTATGTTTTCTTTTCTGTCTCCTTTTTCTTTTATGCTTTCTTTTATGTTTTTAATTTTTTAAAATTACCTTATTCTTTTTTATTTTTAAAAATCTTCTGTCTTTCTCTGTGCCAGTGATCGCAATAAGCTCCGTGTTGCAGGAGGGAGGGGACAGCACTGTCACCTCTGCCAGACCCTGGGGTGTGCAGGGAGTTCAGAAATGGGACTGGGGTGGGGGGGATGAAGGTGTTGGCACAAGATAGAAATCACCCCATCCTGAGTGACCACCTTATTCTTTTTTATTTTTAAAAATCTTCTGTCTTTCTCTGTGCCAGTGATCGCAATAAGCTCCGTGTTGCAGGAGGGAGGGGACAGCACTGTCACCTCTGCCAGACCCTGGGGTGTGCAGGGAGTTCAGAAATGGGACTGGGGTGGGGGGGATGAAGGTGTTGGCACAAGATAGAAATCACCCCATCCTGAGTGACCAGTTCTTCCTCCCTGATTTTTGAGTTTGTTGTTTTTTAATCATTTGCAATATGATTAATTAGAATTAAATTAAATCCAAAGAGGTTCTAGTTATCTTTTAAATATAAATATAAATATAAATAAGTGTGTGTATATGTGTGTGTGTGTGTGTATATATATATATATATTTATTTCTTTCACAATCCCCTCTGGCACAGGGCTGTGGGTTCAGACAGGCTCACTCTGATCACACTTTTACCTAAAACTCGAGGAATTGAGAGCAAAACACAGCACCTGAGCCAAACCAGGTGCTTTGAACCAGCGGCGCGTGGCATCCCAATGGGATGCTTGGAAGAGTTGGAGATGTCACGAACCAGCTGCCACATTTAGCAAAGGTTTTATTATAATTTAGGAAAATTTACAGCAGGAGGAATCCAGGATGAAGGGAAGGCTGATCCGTGGGTGCAGATTTTAGGAGGTGACTGGGAAACATGGAAGGAGGCAACGCAGCTGCCGTGTGATGGATAAATCCTTCCCATGGAGCATCCGCTCGCTGCCGGCGGTGGAGAGGGTCCAACATCTTGGAAAGCTCATAACCTTGATTTGCCATTTAATTGTACCTTCAAATTAAAAAGCAAATAAACACCAAAGAGCTTCACGGAATTGAAACTCCCCCCAGCCCTTAAAATCAGTTTAGGAGCTTTGAAAAAGCAGCGGAATTTTCTTCTTTGCAAAGGAGCATCTGCTTGGCTTTGATGAAACCAAAATCTTATCATATCCACTAAAAAAAAATGGAAACAATCCCACCACCCTCACACTGAAATGAAATGTGAAATGTCAGAACAAAACATGGTGAGAACAAAACAGCCTCATCCCATCGCAAATTATTAATTCCCCTCCAAATGGTTTAATCTCCCTTGGTTTATTGTATTACAAGTGGACACCAGTGTAAATGCAAAGCGGTGTCAAGAGCAAGGAGCCACCTTCTGCCTTTGCACCAACCCCCCTGATTTGTGCCCGTGATTGGAAATTATTCATTTATTCAGTTTTAATTCACCGTGTTTGCCACGTGGGATGATTTAAGCAAGTGGTGGGAACGCGGCTGAGAAGGGGTTGCTGCCGGGTTCCTCCTTCAGGTACCTCTTTGTGAAGCTGCCAAAAAGAAGAAAATAGGTGGAGAGGAAACTTCTAAAAACACATTATCGACTGGGATGGAGGGTTCTTGGTGTGGTGGGAGGTTATTTCCCAGCGTGGTCCCATTCCCCTCTCCCTTCCTCACCTGTACCGCTTGGTGTTGATGAGCCAATGCACAAAGTCCTTGGCCTTCATCTTGTCCAGGTAGCGGGTGAAGTCGCTGGTGAAGGTGCCTTCTGAGTGTCGTTTGATGTTGGATGCGAAGGTTTGGGTGCTTTGGGATTCATCTGACTGCCAACTGCTCGAGAGAGAAGGATGGGAGGGGAAGAAAACATGGTTTAATGGACATGGTGGCATCTTGCATCCTCCATGCAGGAGGTGTCCAGAGAAGCATCTGTGTCCTGTAATAAAGGACTTTACTGTGTGGAACATCCTCCAGAAAAGCTTTAATAATACATAAAAATAATTTTCACCTTCAGGGTGGTCTGCCAAGCTGGAGTTGTTCTTGATATCAAATATATGCAATATCATAGAATCATCGAATGGTTTGGGTTGGAAAGGACCTTAAAGATCATCCAGTTCCAACCCCCCCCTGGTGTGGACAGGGTTTGCCAAACACTAGATCAGGCTGCCCAGGACCCCATCCAACCTGACCTTGGATGCTTCCAAGGATGGGGCATCCACAGCTTCTCTGGGCAACCTGGGCCAGTGTCTCACCACCCTCTGGGTGAAAAATTTCCTCCTAATACCCAGCTTAAATCTCCTCTCTCTTAGTTTAAAACCATTTCCCCTTGTCCTGTCACTCTCTGCCCCACATCTTGCTCAGCTGCGGTGGGTTCTTGCCTCCACCCTGGTCCCTGTTTGCTGCTCCTGGGAGGGAGTGTGGTGCTGCCCAAGGTTTCTATCAACCTCCTCCAGCTGCAGAATGGAGAATTGATATCGGGGTCTCCCCACTTTCACAAATCACCTCAGCAGAAGGACACCAAAGGGTTTTTCCTCCCATGTGGCTGCTGGCACAGAGCAAGACTCAGCACCATGCCCAAAGCATTGTCTTGTCCTGGCTCTGCCTTGCCATGACTTCATGAAGCCCATCTCTGGTCTGACACAGTTGAGAAATCCTGGGGGGGGGGGGGGGGGGGGACAAGG